GAATTTGAGTTCATGAAGTCTTGTTTCGTCTACGTTTGCTTTTCCATGAGAAACCCTTCTTACCTCTGCTTGTGCCTTTTCCATCTCCCTCGGGTTTTTCAGCAGTTCAGACATTGTCCACTCTATAGCTGTCGATGATGTCTCACTCCCGGCACTAAAAATGTCCTGAAAAATCAAAATTGTGAAGATCATTGTTGGAGAAGATTGATCGCAAGTAAGTAAACCAGGGATGTATTAATGATTTTTCAAAACAAACTACAATGAAGAATATGCTTAGGCTCTACTAGTCCTAATGGAATTGTATCAATAGTCTCTTTCGTTTTTCATAGTTCGAAAAGCTAATCAAGACAATATTTTAATATGAAGTATGTATGCGCAATCGGGATCTTATTCTTACCAAGAGAACAGCTTTGATATTGCCATCAGTTAGAGGATATTCAAGATCACCGCATTTCTGAAGCCTTAGGAGAACATCAACCAAGTCTTCTTCAGCATCTACACCATCAGATATCACTCCCTTCTCTTTCTGCTTGTGGTCTTCAATTATAGTCTCAAGAATCCCATCAATCTTTCGGTGCAGTTTCTCAAGTCTGTGCCTCATTCCACCGATCAGTTGAAAGGCTTTAAGCGAAGGGTATAAATCTGATAAAGAAAACCCTGCAGCCACCTCTGAGATCTCCTTAACTATGGATATGAAAGCCTTCTCATCATTGGATCTTTTACCGAATGCCGCTCTTGCTGTAATGCTATAAGTAGTGGAAGAAATTTTCTCGCTTAGATTGATCGATGAACCTTCACTCGCGCGTATCGCTTTGGTGAAATTTAGCACTTCCTCTTCCCTTGCTGATCTGAACGATTGGACACGTTTCGCGCTTAATAGCTCCATGGAGCAAATTTTCCGAAGCTGTCTCCAATACTCTCCGTATGGGGAAAACCCGATGTTTGTCGAATCATAAGACAATATCTTGGCAGAAAGAAGATATGGTCTGTTGGCAAAGATAATGTCATGAGTTTTCATGACTTGTTTGGCGATTTCCGGTGAAGAAACGACGATGTTTGCAAGTTCACCAAGCTGTAAGTGCATGAGGGGTCCATACTTATTGGCCAAGTTTCTAAGAGAGTGATGAGGTAATGAGCCAACAAGCTGGTGCAAGTTTCCTATAAGCGGTAATTTCCATGGTCCTGGGGGGCATTTTGCAACAGAATTTTTTGTTTTGTGGTTGTGCACTATTTTGACTACCATGGGCAAGAAGAGGAAGAAGGTAAAGATTATAAAGGAAAGAAGAGAAAGATCCATGGATGGGATTTGAAGCATTGAAGAGAATTTTTTTCGTTCTTGCTAATTTCTTAGAAAAGGTTCTATATATACACCTGTTTTAGTCGTTATCGTTTACTTTGCATATTAGCCTCCATCACCTAGATTCATTGTTGATATATCATATTGTAAGCCGTTTTGATTGACCAGGGAAAAAATATTATAAGCCACTTGGTACTGTGTTCATATATCTATATATATATATATATA